GAAACTTCCCATATCCCCTCCTTACTGACTCAATCCCACATAGGGTCGGGCGAGGTTCCCGCCCATCACCCCAGTTGAATGCACCCAACGCCCAATGTCGCCTGGATTCAGCCGCTGCCTTGACTTGCTAAATACGAGGGTGGATCTCCCGCTAGAGTAGGGGAAGATTCATATAGCCTCCACTTACAGTCTGCCCCCCACCAGGTACTGCGTAGCCCGTTTTCTTACTAACTTTTAATCTACTAACCTAACACCCGACCTAGCTCCGCAGTTAAACTCGCACTTCCTCACACCTCCTACTACCATCTTTTCCCACTCACTTTCATCGAGGACTGGGCCAGATACACCATCCTTCCCGCCTCCTCCGCCATAACCAGCGCAACCCAATTTCGTACTAACTTGTTTTCTACTAACTCTCACTCCAATCTATCTTCAGAATCGAGCGCGCCAACCCCCAAAACCCTTACCTAGTTCCCCAGTCTGTCCGATTCCACCACGGTTCGGTCGGACCAACTACTTCGAATGCGCCTACCTCGTCGCCCGCCATCGCCAGCCCTCTGCTTCCCCCACGCACCTACCACCGCTTCCCATGTGGGTTCGCCCGGCCTCCCAACACTCCACAATCCGTGTTGCCGTCAACAACTCCGCAGCGCACCTCTCGGCCACTCCGCTACGCCCGACGATCTTCGCTGGTCAAAAAGAGTTCCTTCGAAAAAAAACACTGGCCGACCGATAACTACCTCTGAGAAACTCTCCCCTCACCGCTCTCCGACACGACGCCCGACAACCCGCCTCCTGGCCAAACTACCACCTTCGCACGAACTTGGCCTCTTTCGAGGCCGGGTTCGGGCACATACGGCCCCCTTTTTCGGTTAGCACAGCGGCCTCCCTCTCCCCGATAACACTTAAGGCAGCCACGCCCGGTCGCTTGAACCTAGCGGGACCCTCGACTAGGTCCCGTCCCCCTCTTTGCGCGCCACCTCCACACCGGGGCTGCGCGACCCTCCGTATCGTTCCAATTTCGACGAATATCCCGAAGGACCTTGGCCGTGACCACACCCCGCAGCCCCTTGCCGCCTACCGGAGGCTTCAGCGCCACCGGCCTCACGAGGCTGGGTGCGGATCCGGCCCTCTTACGACGCCGGGTTCGGGCAGGTACCCCCACCGTATGCTACAGGCCACAGCCGTGACAAGCACCTCGGCCTGCTCTTCGCTTTTAAACGAGTGCCCCAAAGGACCTACCCGCAGCCTTACCCCCCCCTCCGCGGCTCTTCGAATCTTGGACCCTCGGGCGTGGTACCGCGTCCCAAGTCAAGCGGGACCTCACCTAATAACGAGAATTATAGACAACAACAAAAAAAATCCCGAGCACAATGCGGAGGCCGCTGATGCCCTACCGGCCCCGTGGACCGGGTCCATTGTTGTCAACATTAACAAAAACCGAAGGGGGATAGCCCCGTCGGGCCCTCAACCCCCTCGGCTTCTCCGTAACGCTCCGCTGCCGCTGCGCCGACGCCCACTGGCCTCGACCCCTGCACCTCCGCCGCAATAGTCCAATACCGTAACCAATAGGGCTACGCCCAAGCCTGGTACAGCGGAGCGCGAACTTCAATGTGAAGCGGTGCCGCGCCTTGCCAAGGCCTGGGAAAGACAGCCTAGGCCCTCGTTTCCCACCTGCAACTGGCGCGCCAATGTCCGGCACTCTCGCCGGCCTACTTAAACCCCGTCGCAGCCAACCCGCGCGTCTACCGGCGCACCAGCCTTACTGTCGGTCGCCCATGCCAACCAAAACGAACCTTTGCCCCTTAGCCAACCTATTGCACGATCCGGGCCGACCGACTAGGCCGGCCGCCCACTCAACCAGAAAAATCACACGCGCGCCTTAAAACTGCGCACCCACACGCCTCCTAGCTTGATGAAGGCGGATCTCGGACGCGGTCGTGCCTCGCATGACTTATTTTTACCTGTCCCATTTTTCCTCTCATCTGCAAAAACCAGGGCGGATACCCTTGCGAGGGTATTCGCGCCGACAACCTACTGGACTATGTTAAGCAACGTCCCCGTCGCTACGCCAAATTAGAAAACTATAAATTCATCCACACTTCAAATGTTGACGAGAATGGAACCAGTCCGATTAGCCAACAGACTCAGGGTTGAGGCCTCCAACACTCCATGCCGACATAACTATATGCTGCCAGGGTTTCAACCTGGGTTTCCATTGTCCTGCAGCTAGGACGCAGGTGTATTACGCATCAATACTACGACATAGTTCCAAAGGCCACCTCAAACCATCCTCTCCCCCTTGTCCTAGACAACCGTCGGCCTCTCGTTGAGTGCCCCTGGTAGACTCTATCTCGTAAGCAGAGTCATATCCAGGGACGAGGGCCTTAAATGAGACCTCTGAAGGCACTCTCATCTTCTTCATAAAAATCCTCACAGTCAAATATATACACACACTCATACATAAATCCCCTCTCAGCCTTTCTACAGCCTAGTACAGAAATGCTAGGTCTCAATCCTGGCCCACCATAGTCTGGTTGATCGAGCCAGATCTACGGCCCACCGCATTGTTACCTCAACGGCAGTCCCTTCGTTGGTTATGCAATGATAGGTTTTCTCCTGATAAGCATTCAATCAGGGCGCCCAAACGACTCGACCGTATCCCCCTCCATCCCGCCGAAGTAATTTCCCTGAGGCGTGCATAACCCCTTAAACTCTTATCCCGTTGGTAGACGTGGGCCCGCAGCCAGGTTGTGCCGGCTTGCAGCCATCCAATAGGGGTTGCGCCCTAGAGGTGCTAACCTTTACCGTTTAGCTTGGTATTCCTCAATATGCTTTAGGATTAGCGCAGGTGTCTAGACGGTGTGTCGCAAAACAGACCACAGGCCCACCGCGGGACTACGCAGGGGTCTGTCTCACTTTCAGAGGTGTTTACCAGCTCCCTATGGGACAACATAGAGAACACGGCCCCCTGTCACAATCACAAACAATTTCACCGCTAGGCTCACACCAGGTTGTGGCCTATTGACTTGATCAGAGATAGCAGACCACACATCCCACGACATCTTTATGCACTGACTTGCGACCTTCTCAGTTCCACCAATGGTTCCGACCGTAATTTTGGTTCCTTTCGTCAGACTTTATCAACCCAAACTTTGCTTACCACGCCCTTAAATCTATTAACCCCCCCGCCTTTCTCACGAAGGAGGTCTCTCTCAACAGGTCTCCCAGCCACCCCTCTCTTTACAGGATGGACTATCACGCGACCTGGGTTGCATAACTGCCAATAAACAACATTCTCACCTTCCATAATCTGAAAGGGGTCTAACCCATAGAACAACTCACACAGAGAGGCCTTCTTATGGGCCCCCTTCCCAACTCAGACATGTAACAACCTCAAACTGAGGGACCAACTTATGGGTCCACTTCACAACTCGGCCCTAAACGTTCGGCATGGTAAGCATTCGAGCCTTATAGGCTCGCAGAACCCTTTTGGGTCCTCACACATCTGTGACAGAACAGCCGTACTGCCTCCTCTCATACTCGGCCGTTTCACCTGCCTAAAGGCAGCCCGCGCGAGTATACCGGGGAGTAGACGGTATCACATTCACACAATACAAAATACATGAGATGTATCCCACACATCTCTCACACAAAGTCATCATACATTGGGATAAAACCACACGTGTGAGAGTGATCGTGATCGCCACAAGAGTAAATCCCACAGAGTCTGGAATCAAATGTAATTGGGAGCAAAAGATCTCCCTCAAGTCTCAATACACCACTCAACTCCGTCTCTCACACACACAACTCGTAGGATGTATTTAGGAATGGAGTGTCTGCCCCGGGATCAACCCAAATACTCAGTCCACTGTTTCACTCCATGGGGTAAACCCACACCACAACTATTATGGGCTCTCAGGATCCACTCAAAAACATCAACAAGGTTTCCTAACCTCCAGGACTAACACCCATGTCGCATAGTCACAGGAACCAAATCTCATTTTCTACATTGTATCATACACAAAGTTCAAAGACCGGTCAAGCCTTGCCACCTATGTATGTACAACTAGACGGGACTCTCTCGGCGGACTCAAACGTGCACACCCCTAGAACCCACTCAACCGACTCAGAGTATGTACATCCCTAAACCGACCTCTGCGTACAGAGGAACTCTAGTCCTACTGTCATATGGGCAAACCAACCCCTACTCACTCATGACCTCCTGGTTCTGCCTATACAACTGTGCCCTACCCCCATCTGGAGCCCGCTTTACCACTCGCCCCTGCTTGTCATACATCCTTCCACCACTCTCTGTCACTTTCCCAGCGGCCTTGTCCTTGAGGAACTTCGGGCATTCAAGAGCCCTATGTACGTCGTGCTTGCAGAAGAAGCACTGTTCGTCTGACCTCCTCTGACGCCTTCCCTTCTTCTTCTGGGATTCTGGCAATGACGGCGTCTCGCTAGCCTCCCTGCTCATCTCGTGGCTCAGGGGCATACTCCATGATTATGTCGGTCTCACCTCCAACATCAGGGTACTCGGCCCCGCCCGCGTCTCGCCTCCCTCAGGTTGGTACGCCGGAGTATCCAATCTCTGTGGCCTACCCTCGCGGACCCCTCCCATCGCAGTCGCCCCCTCGTCCCTATGCATGTCAGAAGGCTGGGGAATCACGGCAGTCGCTGGCTCGCTCATAACCTCCTGCTCCTGCTCTGAGATGTGCTCTCCTGAGTCAGCTCCAGTAGCCCAAGAGCCTAACTGTGTCCTCAGCTCCCTCATCTCTGGCACACGCTCCAGGGTCTCCTGTCTCTGAGGCCCTCCTGATGGCATCTCCAGCTCCATATCAGACGGGATGCCTCCCCCTCCCTCGCCTCAGGCTCCGCAGACACTGCTGCTCCTGTGAGGGTGCCCTCCTGCACCTCCAAAAGGATTGTAGGAGACTCTTCCGTGGGGCCCCCTTCCGCCACTGGAGGTTGGGGTCTCTGCGCCGGCTCGTCCTCAGGAGTCTCAATCGTCATAGGGGTGGCCTGATGCGAGGCCAACTCCGTGGGAGTCCTGAAGCTGAACCTCCTCTCCTCCGCCTCCCGCCTTGCTGCCGCCTCTGCTGGGTCCAGTAATACCTTCCCCATTCCCTCTTGCTGTGGCGGGTCTGTCGTTCCTTCCTGGCCAAAGAGTCCCTGTACCTCCTTCCCCTGAATACCATTTCGGTTCTGCTCCGTCCAGTCGACCACCTTAGTGGCCGAGAGCCTCTCCACCATCGCCGCCATGTCCTGGAGCCTCTTCTCCCATTCCGCCTCCTTGGCTTCCATGCGGGACCTCCACGCTTGGTTCTCTGCCCTCTCTTCCGCCAACTGGGTGGATAACTGCTCCACCTCTAACCTCGAGGCCGCCAACTCATCGCTGAGCATAGAGTACCGCTGGAAGGACGAGACCGCCACCTCACGTATCCTCCTATCTGCACGCTCAATTGCCATCCTGGTGGCTGATTACCCCAGGTCCCCAATCTCTCGCGTCTCATCCACCCTCACGCCCTCCTCCCCTGCCTCTCGCGAGCTCAATCGGGCCGTATCTCTCTTACCCTCGTAACCGGCCCAAACCTCGCTAATCCTCTGCTCGCTCGTCGGAGGGTCAGTCGGTGGCTTCGGCGCTTCTCCTGCGGCCTCCATCCTAACCTTTTCCTTGTATAACTCCTCAAGACGTACCTGCACTCTCGCGGTGGTCTCTTCTTTCGTCTCCCCTGATGGCCTCCTTGCCCACGCCTCATGGGCCTCTCGTAGTGGGTCTCCCTCACTCATCTCCTCCTCTGCGGGCGGCGGCTCTGGCGGAGGCTCCCCGGATGTCAGCACCTCAATGTCCATGCGCTCATCTGTAGGCTCGGTTAGTTGTGGTGCCACAGTAGTAGGTGTCCTCTCCCTTTGCTCTCCACTGGCTCCGCCTGCGTCGGAGGTGGCGTAGTAGCTTCCGATGGAGGCCCCAACATCTCCTCGCTGTTCGGCTCAGGAATTCCTTCAGGCCAATACTGCCGCGCCTGCTCCAGAATCCTGGCAGGAGGAAGGGTATAATCCCCAACAGTGATAACCCCCTCAGTCCGCGGCTCCTCGGGTCCACGAGGCCCCGCCTCAGGCCCCGGCTCTGGCAGCTCCTCCTCCGGCTCATCCTCTACTGGCTCATACCGTGCTGGTCCGCTCTGGTCCGCTCCCAGCTGTGACGCCCCCCACTAGGACACATCGAGATGGGCCTCTAGACTGTCGAGCCGTGTCCTCAATGGCACAGCCTCTCCCTCCTCTGGTAAAGTCGGCGACGGGCCCCGTAGATCACTGCCCGTGATCCGGCAAAACTCCACCCGCTCAAGTTCGTGGGTAGGGGGTAGCTCTGCTGCCTGAGCCGGCCTCGCGGCCTGAACTGGCTCCACCGCCTGGGCGGCCTCCGCTGGCCCCTCTCGCTGTGCCAAGGCCTTTCGACCCCTTCTGGTCGTGGTGGCTCCTCTCGCCTCTGCGTCTCATGGCCTCTTGCTCCTCTGTCGTCTCTCCACCCTGGGCCCTGGTCTCTCGGGCTCCAGTCGTCGAAATGCCTGTCTCAACCGGGCCTGGCAGTCCTCCCAATCACGTGCCCTATCTCGAATCTGCCTCGCCAACGGCCTCTCCGCCCTCCGCGTCCAGAGGGGAAGCGTCTGCATCCACTCCTCCTGCCCAGTCCCTTGGTCGCGCATATACTTCTTATAGGCTGGGATGAACTCCTCCGCATTGCCTTCCTCTAATCGAATAGGCAACCCATCTCGTCCCAACGACGAAACCCTCAGCCTCTGCATCCTCCTCTCCACATCCTGCCAGGTCAACGCCTCCTCCCGAATGTGTGCAATAGGCTCCTCAAAGCGCCCAACTCCCCTCAAAAGCAGTATCCTTTCCAAGGTAGACCAGCCCTCCCGTGCCGCATGTGCCTGGTAGGAGTCTAGAAAGAGCTCTATGTTATCGTCATTGAAGACAGGCGTAGACTCCCTCTCAAACGGTCTGCACGAGTCATCCCCTCCTGATGCTCCCTGAGGCCTCTGTCGTGGCCGCGCGCCCCTCCTGCCCCTTTGCATGGCTGTCTTCGAAAAGTCAGACCTGCACAACAGGCGAGAGAAACCAAGCAGGCACATAACAAGGTTAGTCATCAGCCCATCAACTTTTGGGATAACACACATGCCCTTTCCTACTTCCCCACCTGACTTAACCATAGCATGCAACACCTCAAGGACTAGTTCATTTTGAAGAGTGTGGTGGTCTTTACATATTCCCTGGCCACGAACTTCTTCAACCTGGTCCCTGACACCCAATCTTGCCAGCCTGTCCCGTCCAACTCCTCGATCTGATAGGCCCCAAATTCGCCACATCGCAAGATTCTATAGGGGCCCATCCATCTCTTGTCGAGCTTCCTCGACCATTGCTTCTCCAGGGAGGAGTCGTACAGTAATACGACGTCCCCCACTGCCAATGGCTCCTTCCTTACTCGCGCCATCTGGTCCCACCTCATCTTGTCTTCCATGCGGATCCTCTCTACCTGACCAGTGTCCTCTCGCAATCTTTCCTCGGTCGCCCCTACCTGCCACGCCCGAATATCGAACAGTTCTTCGAAGGACATGTTCACTTCCAGGTCCTGACGTCTCCACGTCTTCATAAAATTTTTTATAGGAAAGGTGGCGTGCCTCCCGTACCATAGTGTGGTTGGCGTGTACTTGGTAGTCCTCGTCATGGTAACATTCTCCACGAAGAAAGCCGCTCGCAGGAACTTCGGCCATTGACCAGGCTTGCCCTCTGTCCACTTAGCCAAGAGATTCGTGATCGTACTGTGCCCCCTCTCCACAGAAGCGTTCACTTGAGGGTGCGCGACCGTAGTATAGTTGGCCACTACCCCATACCGTGCAAGCAAGGTTCTCACCTCATTGCAGGTAAACTCCGATCCTCAATCCATCACGAACTCCTTGACAAAAGGATAACGCAGGTAATACTCCTCGATGTTTGCCAAAACTGGGCCAGTCTTCGTCCGGATAGCCCGACCGTCTATAAACCCAGTAAGGTTATCCCGGGCATCGAAGATGTAATTGCACCCATTTTCCCCAACTTGCATAAACAACAGGTCCAGGTGTACAACCGCACCCACTTCCCTTTCCAACCTTGGGTGCAGGGGCTCCCCCGGCCTTTGCGCTGACCTCTTCTGGCAAGGTACACAGGATTGGCAGTACTTGATGACCATCGTCATCATCCCATCCCAATGGTAGAGCTCGCTTATCTTCACGCATGTGGCACCTATCCCTCTGTGCCCTCCTGCTATACCATCGTGTAGGGCTGCTATGATATCAATCTGGCAGTTCCTCCCGCATACGATCCTCTTGGGGTTCCCAACCTGCCGCTTTATAAACAGGTGGCCGTCTCTTACCACATAGAGGTGCCTCATCTTCTGTGCCTTGGCACTTGCATCTCTCTCCCTTATCTCGCATGATAGAAGCAGCCCCAACTCCCGGTAGATTCCATCATACTCCTCCACCCGAAACGCCTCCTTAATTTCTCCTTCCTCGAATTCGTCGTCCTGGCTTTCAGGAACCAGAATTTCATTTTTCGCATGACTGAACGAGCGTCTCTGGTCGAAGTCTCCTTGCAGGAGCGTATTAGTGAGCAGATACATCCCTCCCATTAGCTGCTCATGCTCCTCTACCTAAGTGGGGCCTTCCTCTATCGTCCTCACTTCCTCCACCAGACTGTGTGTACCGGCCATTGCCAACTTCATCATCCAACCAACATCCTTGCTTCCCCACGGATCCTCCTCCTGAAAGGGCTTGATGACTAACTCTTCCTTCTGCTCGTACCCCTTTGGTGCTAGCCATATGAGGTGGCTGACGCAACTGGGTACTGGTAGGGACCATTCGTTTATATGGAGGCGGACGTCCTCCTCTTGATCCAAGAACCCATCAACTGGCGGGGTGTCCTCTATCGATTCCTGATCAGATCCGTCCCAGTTGATGCGGCTCAACCCATCTGCCCTGTTCTTGTTCCTTGGGATCCTTTCCAATTAGAAATTAAACATCCAAATGTAGGTCAACCATCTCGCGACGGTTGGGTCAGATGGAGTATAATTCTTCAGGGAACATGCAAGTGCAGTGGGTCCACCCTCAAAATGAGCCTTCTGCCGAAAACATAGTTCCGGAAGGTCCTTAGGCAGTGAAGCACTGCTAGTGTCTCCTTCTTACATTGAGAGTTGTTCCTCTCAGTTGTATTGAGGGTACGACTTTCAAACCTTAGCGGCCTCTCCTTCCCTTCAGTATCCCCCTGAATCAGGACTCCCCCCAAGGCAGTTGGCCCAGCGTCCGTCTCGATAACGAATGGTCTTTCCTCCGTGGCCTCATAATTCGGCGCTCCCAATACCAAGCCCCCTTCCTTGAACTCTCCCTTCATCCTATCAACCGCCTCTTCCTGGTCTTCGCCCCAGACCCATTCCTCATCCTGACGCACCAACTTCCTTAAATGCTTCGTCTTCTTGGCAAAGTCCCTCACGACGCTCCTCCAAAACCCGCATGTCCCAAGGAAGCTTCTCACATCTGTTATCTAGCGGAAGGGCACTGGCCACTCAATGGTTTTGTCCGTCTTTTTTACATCAGGCCTTCGCCCACTCTCATTACAAACAAAGCCTAAAATCGTGGCCTCCCTCATACAATGTTTCGACTTGGGGCCACTCGTCGTCAGGTTGTGTTCCTCCAATAGACTCAGAACCTGATCGATGTCCTGGACATGCTTCCAGACGAAGCGCCTGACTCCAGGCATCACTTCATCTTCCTCCTTCTCCTTTGGACCTTTAACCGCCAGGTCATCGACATAGGGCTGGGTGATATGTGGACTAACCGTCTGCATGGCTCTAATCATGTGTCTTTGCACCATCGCCACCGCATTCGTCCAACCTTGAGGGGCTACATTCATATGAATTAGCCCTCTGGGTGTGTGCATCGCCGTTACAGGTCTGTCTGGCGGGTATACAGGAAATTGGTCGTACCCAGACTAGAGGTCTATAAGCGAGATTATAGGCCTCCCCGCGCACGACTCTGACAGTGCGTCCGCTTCTGGCAACCCTCCCGCATCCCACATTGTCACCGCATTTACTCGTTGTAGGTCCTGCACGCACCTTAGCGTCCCATTTGGCTTGCTAAAACAAAACCAAGGCGAAGCGTATGGTCCGCTGGAGTAATCGGCGACATGCGTGCGCATCTTGCCATCCAAGCAGTCCACCACCATCTTCTCTTCATCTGGGTTGGGGTACCGCGCGCCCCTTAGATTCCATGGCTCGTGTGGGACCGTGTGGATCCGGATCATCGAAATCTTGTCCACATCCATCCTCCCACACTCGTCGTCATTGAACGCATACGCGCGATGCCTATTCTTCATCGTCTCCACCATTAGGGCCCTCTCCTGGGGTGACAGGAAACCAAGTTCCCCAATTATCAACTTCCCCTCATGCTCGTCGTTGATACGACACGGCCCGGCCAATGCGTGCTCCCGCATACACCGTATCAATCCTCGCTCCCGCTCGTAGTAGGCTTCCTCGTCCTCTGTGACGAGCACGGAAACTGGGCGGCACTTCTTATCTATGGTCTTGTACCGCCTTTGGGAGCCCTGCTTAAGCCCTCTCCTAAAAAAGGCCGACTCGTCGCTCGAGCTTGGGCCATTGCAATGCCTCCCCTCCGTCCTGGAAGCCGATACACCAATTTCACCTCTCCCACCTGAGGGTTCTCCAAAACCTGCTCCCTCAATGCCTTAATGGCCTCCGGATCCGCCATGTCGTGAGCCGACACCACCTCCATGGCCTTGTTCACATCTGTGAGGGTCAACGTCAGCACCTCAGCCCTATCTTCCTCCTCGGACACTTCCCAAAGCCGTCTTCGCTCGTTCTCCGATTCCTCAAAGGTGAACGAGTCGAGGTTAGGCCTGTTCCTTCCGCTCCCCGGCCCCGTGTTTCGGTAGGTGATAACTTCGTAGTTCCCACACGCTGGATCACATAGGAGTAGGATCATTGTCCCATCGTGTTTATTGAAAATCAACATCTCCGTTCGACACAGGAACGACCGCCCCAGAAGAATGGAATGGTTGACATCGGGCATAATAAAAAAACATGTCTTTGCCCGCACCTTCCCGATCTCTATGATCACGTTGGACGCCGTGCCGCAAAAAGCGGCCTTACAATTGGCGTCGTGCAGCATACCGTGATCCGAACGGTCAATCTCCATCCCCATCATCACCGCCTCCTTCTCCCTGATGATGTTCATCTCTGCGCCCGTGTCCACCATCCCAGTACATTTCTGGTTCTTTATCACCAGATCCACCTGCCCACACGCCACACATTTCCAATCCATCCTTGTCCCTACCTCAGTCTACTCCACCTCCCTGGGCAGGACCGTACTTAGATGGACATTTGGTACCAACCTTCGCGAGAGTCGCCCTTTCAACTCACCACGGAGCCTTGGCGCCGACGCCAGGATGTCCTTTAGGTTCATCAAGTCATTGTGGCCTTCTAGGAGCTTGTCCACCATCCGCTCCACATCAAAGCCTTCCTCCATCCGGACCGCGTACTTCTTCCTCTTAGGCACGCTGTCAGGCAGGCTTGGCTCAGTCTCCTCCCGGACTCCTCTCTTTTTGGCCCTTAGCTCCGCCCGTTGATCCTCCTCTTGTCGAAGCCTCTCATCCTCTTCGTCGTCATCCTCATCCTCTTCCTCCGGGACCTCCACCACCTCCTTCCTACGTCGTGGCTCAGGCTCCTTTTGAGGGGGTGCTTGATTGGGCTCTTGGCTGGGTCCGGCCTTATTTTGGCTCCTGGTCCGAGCCGCCTGTGGCACCCTCCCATGCGACGTGGGGGTCTATAGGTCATACCCGACCTAGGGCCCGTCCCTACAGTCGCCACTCTTGGGTACCCCTGTTGTCCTGACGAAGGCTCAGATCCGGAGTCGTAAAGGAAGACCTTAGGCAGGTTTGCCTCCCACTCTCGGGCTTCTTCACACAGGACTCGCAGCTTCCGCTGGTATCTCCCCACCTTTTCCAGCAGATTTTCCATCCTCCCCAGGAAGACTATGGCCGGCTCTCCTTCGTCTTCTTGCCCCTCGTCATCGGACTCGACGACTATTGGCTCCTCCCTTATAGTCCCCGCCTTTAGTCGCTGAGTGACCTCCTCACTATCCCCCACAATCTCCTCAACTCTTCTGGCCGGCCCTTTTCCCTCCTGCCACATCCTGAACATGGTCGGGGGTGCCGATGGCCCTGCCGCCAGGGCCACCGCTCGCCTAAGAGCCTCTTGCCTGATTCCTCCCGGGGTTTTGGGGTCAATATGGTCCCCCCACTTATCATATATGCCCCCGTCCATGCAAGAGGAAATCAACCCTGCCAACTCATCATCTCGCCGTTGTTGGCAGAACCATATAGTGTGGCCCACTTCGCCACAATGCCAGCAGGTGGCGTTTTGCCAATCAAAGCGGGGCCTCCCATACACTTGGCCCCCCTCCTGGCCACCTCGGCCACCTTGGTTCTGACCCCCTTGACCATTCCAACCACCTCCGCGACCCCCACCATTTCCTCCTCGGCCCCGGCCGCCACCTCCTCGACCCCCTTGACCTCGGCCTCCATTGCCTTACCCGCCTTGTCCTTGATTTCCTCCCCCGGCCACACTAGCCTGCGAGGCCTGTCGGGAGGGAGGCGGTTGGGCCACGACTACCTTGGGTCGCGGGGTAGCTTGGGGGCCCCATACTTGCCGCCGGGTCCGCATAGGGGACCATCTGCCCAGGATGGGTCTGACTCCCTCCACAGGAGGTACAGTGATTACAGCTGGGCCAGGGCGCGTGCTGACAATGCGGCATCCAATGCCCACAAGCCAGCGGCGGCCCCAGGCATGACGGCCCGGCCGTCGCTGACGTTGTCGTGGCGGCAGGTGGTGGTGCGACAACCACTTGCGGGGCCTGCCCTTTCCCTGATCCTTGACCCCCCACTAGTAAATTCTGCTGCTTCCTCTGGGCCTTGGTTAGGATCTGGGAGCCCGTCTCTTCTCCGCCGTAGTCCTCGCGCCTAGCCTCCTCCTCCACTGCCCTAGATGCCCGACCTTGGGCCACGGTCACCCCCTTCTTTTGCACTTCCGCCTCATTATCATACCCCAGTGTTGCCAATACGTCCGTGACGATCCTCTTCACCCGGGGGGTCTTGGATGCGGTGGCGTCCCTTTCCTTTTTCTTGCGCCTTTGCAGCCGCACCTGGTGCTGTTCCAGCTGGTCCAGGCTCCCCTCTTCCACCCCTTTGTCGATAGTGGCCCAAGTGAGTTTCTCATTCCCCCCTCCGTGACCTGTCAGCTCCGAGGCCTCCGAGCCAGTAAGCAGGCCTAGGAATATGGCACACTGCGTTTCTTCGGAGATCCCGTGCACCTTCCTCGCCTTCCTCTTGAACTCGTGCACAAACGCGCCAATCGTGGAGAAATCATCTTTGTTCATGGCCTCCAAGTCTGTTGTGGTCAGCAAGCCATCCCCCAACCTGTACTTTCTCTGCATTATGTCCCTGAACCTCGCCCAACTACCATTGGCGGCATCCACGACCTTGCCTACCTCCTGATGATGGCTATGAAGGACATATCTTAGGACTCGCTGGAGCTTGACCTCATCCTATAGCCCTACCAGTGCTTGCTCCATCAGATCCAGCCAGTCGGATACCCGTTCCCCCTTGAAGTGGAAGTGTCAACCTTCGGGACATTGCTCGGCGCTCTCTCGCGCTTATCCAAGGCATCGATGAGGTTGTCGAGCGTTACGAGCCTTTTCCCACCGTCCGCCATCCCCTTTAGCATTTCGATTGACCGCCTTCGGCTTCAACCCCCCTGTTATAAGAAACGATAGGACGAAAAGGTTCCACTCAGCAGTCCCATCCATTACGACCCTATCGGGCAAACCACCTAAACACCTGACGCTCTAGACCTGGCAGACATTTCTCTTTCTATCTTCTTTAGGCTCACACCTAGGTAAGGTCCATTCTCGCCATAAAATTTGCTCACATATTCGCCTCATCCACGCCATCAGCCAAACCACCAATCAAATCAACATTCATTCACACACAGGCATATAGACTACTATACGATCCATCTCATAGTTCTACCCTTATCTACCCATGTGCCTGATTCTCCCTCATTCCCATACCCGGATGTCGTTCCACCAGGGACAACGGCAGACTTCCGTTATCCCCGACAACGGCGCCACCTGTCGCGTGCATCGGCTCGGCACCACACGTGGCAGCGCGGGACCCTTCCGGCCGCGTCACGCAGGAGTTGGACCAACCTCGACACGAACACGCACATGGAGCTTCCTTAGGCCACTCCGGCCGAGTGCGCCAGCCATACCTCTCGCGAGCCCCTACGACAGGATAGGGCCTACGCGAGGCACAACTTACCTCCACCTTACAGGAGCTGTCACCTCCCTTCAGTGGGCGTATCCCAGCCGAGGTACCAGTCCACAGTACGAAAGTTAATCAGTTGCAATCGCAGAGGTGGACCAGCCGAGGGTGTTTCTCGTTCGCTGTAGCATAGGGGGTACGAGCGGTAATACGCATATCGGGCCCGCATGCAAACCGACATCTTGGGGGGCTGAAGTCCCAAGCGCGGGTCGTCGTCGGTCGACCAGGACGCATCCCACACACCACGCGCACACCACTCTACGAGCACAAAAATAAAAACACACACACACCCGAAACGACACAACACAAACAACGAGACAACGCTCCTAGCCCCTCCAGTGGCCATCCCATAACTTTCCACTGCGGAAACCAGTTAGGCGTCGCGCGCGAGACTTAGTATAAAACTGCGCGGACGGAGGGCCTTCTCATATCGAGTAGGAATGCAAACGTACGCAAGCAGTCGCAACGATGGTGTATCATGTAGTACCCATACTCGCGCGGCCCTCGTTAATCTCGAGGGTCGCGTTTGACACTCAAGTGTCGGCTGACACGTGCCATGAGGGTTAATCTCTCGATGTTGGACAACCGCCATGCGCGGTTGAAGACCACACACCCTCTTTTGCACCTTATGCAGAGCGGGTGGTACACAGGTCCATACCTGTGGTGGCAGTCGTTTCTTGCGGCCCTAGAGGTAAGTCTTACTCCAGGCCTTGGCAAAAGTCAAGGGGTTTGACTTTAACGACAGCCACGGACTATAACGTCCAACCATAAAGCAAAACAAATAGGTCGAGGACCCCCTTGTTCCAACCGGGGTCATCATCGTTGGGGTACCCTCCCCCCCCTTCGACCGGTGACCGCGGCCTATAACAATCCCAAGCGTTCGCGTCTACGGGCGAGCCCCGCGATCCCATAATTTTTAGACGCTGGCGCGGCGAAGCGGCGCGCGCAGGATTTTTAACATAAAGTCGCGCGGCTGCTGGTCAGTCCCATACCAACCATCGATGTCGATTATATGTGGTAATCGCGGCTCCGGCCTCGCGATATTGAATGGCTTAAGGAATATATCGCGAGGGGTTCCCCCCCACGATATTGAACGGCTGAAGGACAGGCCGTTCGGCCCTCGCGACATCTCCGCCTTCAGGGTTGGGTGTCTCGACAGGCAATGCAGATAGGCTTTGCGAGAGGGGAAGTCCCTCCCCTGCCGAGCCCAGGGCTTTGGATGTCCTGGACTAGGACCTTGAATCCCAACCCCGGACCAACGTCCGACTAAGAAAGCCCCCAAGGAGCAGCAGGACTAAAAGGAAAGTTTTCCTTGTGCCCACCTCGGTCTTACTCTCTGAGTATGCCTTTAGTACGGGGCCCCCTAGGCCTCGCGAACACCCACCGTAAATACACCCAAACAAACACACATAAGGAAGATAAAGTTGCGACGGTCACTTCTCACAGGCACAGTGGAACTCCTCACGACCATATGTACATATATATGGGATCGCAGGCAATCCCAAATCCAAAATCCGGACCACAGGGCCTACCTGCAATCACATCAAAGAA